ATGGATATGAATGGGAAAGAGGAAGGTCACATACATAAAAAAATAGAATATGACTCTAATCCTTCTTCAGCTAAATCAACCAAATCATCCTCAGTAAGAGGATCAAATGAATCTGATAATGACAAAGATGCTGGAAGGATAGAACTTGCTTACCAGAGTGCTGATGCAACTTCCACCAGGACTGATCTTGTGGAAGTGGCTATGATGTTTCCATAGAAAAGACAAGTGCAATTTCAGTAGCCAATCTAATGAATTTTTTTTTCACTTTTTCTGTTATAATAAAAAATGTAATGAGTACCTACTCAATTTTGCTTTATTTCAACATATAAACCAGAATATGATTAACACTGTGAATAATTTAAAGCTTCTAATTCTATACAAGGAATAAGAATAAAATGATTATGAAATATCTCCATTATTCTCAATCTCAAGACCATGCTCAAGTGTGATTCTGATAGTAATGGAATCTTTTCAAATGTTGTTCTTCCTGCTTCATTGTAGAAATATAATTATGTAGGGCAGTTGATTTGTTATCTGGAAAATGAATATCAGTTACCTATTTATGGAAGTTAGATATTATATAAGACTTACAATTCACCAAGAATTCAGAATTATTCTTTTTCACCAACAGCATGATTAATTTTGTAGGAACAGTTTCTTCAATCTTTGTCTTCCTTTGATTGTAAAAGCTAGTTACATCACATCTATACCTGACTTTCTTCACCACTTGCTTGGGTGTGAGCTTCACAACTGAATTCTTCCAGTTCTGCAGTTCTTTATGACTACCTAAAAATGTAGTTGACATTTCAGTAAGCAAAAGGATCAATGGAGCATAATTGACTTCATGAGGCTTCAGCATACACAAACCAAGAGTTTCAAATCAGCAGAAGTTTCATCAGCTCAAAGATCTCAAGTTTCTGTATACTTTTCACTTCAACAAATTAACATTATTTCTTGCTTTGTATACCTGTTCGTCTTCCACCATCGGCCGATTTTCAAAAGCACTCAAATCGCTGAAATTTCGAAATAAAAATGATTGGAATCAAATGTGGAATGTGGCTCTCATTGTTTTCCCCATTCCACTGACAGCTTTGACATCAATATCAATGCTTTGATGTACTTTTTCTGCTATCTGAAACATTTTCGCGGAGGAATATTATTTTCAGAGGCATCGGAAAGAAACTTCAACAACATAATAATATATAAATAAAATTTAAATGAAATTCATCCTCCATTTTGACTCGTGAATTTGACAAATTTCGCGCATGCGCAAATAGGTATTTGCACCCGCAGACTGTCATTTGTTTCCTCAAAACTGGCTTCACTTTTGACCATTGGAAACATAGGATGTTATCCGTATATATTTAGTAGGTATATGCGCGTGGTGCTAAGTGGAGTCAACAAAAACCGAACGTGAAGGGATGATTCGCGTGCCGCTCCGACTCAAGAGAAGAACAGTTTAATCGATTAATCGCAAGTGGAACAGAGATAGTTGCATAGAGGAGTTTGAATGAGATTTTGTTCAGTTTGTAAACGGTTTGGGGTTTAAAATAATATTTTTCTTTTAAAACTTCATAGATCACTCTACATGTTTCTGAAATCAGGACTCTGAGAGTTGGATGAATACGTGTGGAACACTTCAAATATTCAAACGAGTTTCCTGTAGCTAAGTAACGTAAAGTCACAGCCAACCTTGCTTGTGGTGAAATTGCCTGACGCATTACTGTATTTTGTTCTTGTATAACACTTTTCACTAAATTCAGCAAATAATTGAATGTATCATTGTCCATTCGAAAATAATTCCTATAGTCTTCTGGATCACATTCGTTGATTTCTTTCAAGTGATTTAAGATGGTTCGATGCACTCCGGCGCAAGTACCATTTTTGGGACCAATACTTTTCCTTCTTTCTGCTGAACTGTTAATTTTCATGATCTAATAATATCAAACATACAATGTTTCTCTTCAAATGCAATGAACACATCGCGAAACCAGCGAAACCTTCATGAAATCGACGAACGGCGAAAGGAAATGGAACGTGCGTGTAGTTTAGCATGGCATTTCGCTCCAAGAGTGACGCGCTTGGAGTGCGCGCCAGGAATCTGTAAAAAACTGCACGTGAAGGGCCCACTAGAATAAGTTACGATCTTCACTTCTTCTTATCATAATAATAATAATAATAATGAAAATATATTTTTTCTGCAACCGACACAAAAATCGTCCATTTCAATAACAAAATTAGCTCTTGAATTGACGTTTCTATTAATGACACAAAAATAGGTATGTTGCTAGGCAACATATTTGGTTCCTAGGAGCTAAAGTTGAACTTTAGTTCAAAAAAGGATGTACTAGACGTCATCAAGAATAATAGTAGATTGTTTTATTAGGATCAAAAGTGACACTTTGTTTGACAACTGAATTTTGCATTTGCGAGGCGGAGCGTTTAGCGAAGCCGAGCGAAAGCTAAATTTGCGAGTCGAACAAAGTCACTTTTGATCCGAATGAAACATGCTATTTTTTCTGCAACCGAAACAATTAACTCAAATAAACATGTGAAGTAACCACCAATGCCGTGCCATATGTATGCAATGCAACAAATATTGACAAATAATCCATGTGGTGAGAATATTCTACCTGCATTAACAGTAGGTTAAGTTTTCTAGGATGTTAGAATTGTAGTTTCAATATAAATACAACCACAGAGTGACATATTTGTGTATGGACCAGGTGCTCTAATGGCAAATACCGCGCCAGTGCCAGCTATAGGAACAAGACGTAGAAAATGTTAGGTTAGTGAGCATATCAACAATGATAATAGTGATTATTTATTCCTCTCTATACTACACTGTGTTTGACTTGATAATCAAATGAAGCTAAACAATATCGTTGTTTGAGACAAAAAAAATATTGCTTGCCGTGATTGTTCAAAAACAAGTTATCCATCCCGAGAATAACAAATGAAATACAGATCAAGCAAGTATTTGAATATTGAAGGCTTCTCTGATCAAAACAAAAATACTCAACTGAGATGTTTATAATTCCAATACTAAACTATAATAAGGTGTATTTATATCTCCAGCATGGGTATGAAATGCCGAATCTGCAGAAATCGGAAACAAATCAGGTATGCGTCTCAACCCAAATAACCAACCGTCACAATGTTGTTTATTCTTGATGACGTCCAGTAGGTCCTTCTTAGTTCCTAGGAGCTAAAGTTCAACTTCAGCTCCTAGGAACTAAAATTCAACTTCAGGTCCTAGGAACTGAATATGTTGCCTAGCAATATACCTATTTTGGTGTCAGTAATAGAAACGTCAATTTAAGAGCTAATTTTGGTATCAAAATTGACGACTTTTGTGTCGGTTGCAGAAAAACAAACTTATTCGAACTCTGCTCCGCGTCGTTCCTAACTGTATTTGCGTGCGGAAAAGTAACACTTTGCGCACTTGTTAGGAGAATAACTATTTTGGTATTCAATTACTCCCCTGTGACGTTAGGGACCTAAATCAATTTTTTCAACACTTCTCACGCTTTTTTATGTAAATAATAAGTCTATGCTTCTTCCATATGATTTCCCGTGATTAAACATTTTCATATGCTTCTACAGTAGTGCGGATTTTGTTTAGGTGGTTGGTGGTTATTGAAAAAATTTGTCCTTCTATTCAGAATAAAATGGTAGTCTATTTTTTTCAAAATGCGAATTGAAACCCTCTATAGCAGAAAAACTCTCCATTTTTTAGGATTGTCACCCGATGATTTTCTGATCAGAATCATATGAACTACATCATCAAAAATTCAGCGAAATTCAACAAATTTCGTTTCATTTGCACCCTCCATTGGGTAGGGAGTAATAATGCAAAAATGCGGTTTCCATAATTATCGGTGATGAAACATTTCCTATATCACTTTTGACGGTAAGATGGAATTCTTTTCATTTTCGGTTTTAAAAATAGGGGTTGGGGGTAATGATTCCCCCCAATTATAAACTAAAGAGAGGTAAAAGAAATAAGGAAAGTGTGTTGATAAATACACAAGAAAATATTAGCATCTCCGTAATCAGTGTATAGGTACTTTCTGTTGTGTATTTATCTCGGTATTTATCAACACACTTTGATCATTATATATTATTTTCTACCTCTTTCAAGTTTTTTAAACTATACTATTTATTTTCTTACTATCTTTCAGTTCGGCTAACTGCAAAAGCGTGTATTACAGTGTTCTTGTTATTTTAAGTACCCAATTTTGACGAAATAATCATAATCTCCTACCCCAAAATCCCCAGATACTAATTTTTGATAAAATCCGATCATGATTACCTAACTTGTCGGCCATACTGTATTCGTCTTATCGAATTATCCCATTTTGACGAAAGAATCACTAGTTGCGTTTTATTTATTCTCTTCTGGTAGCGGTGGTGGGAACAGAACGACGTTTACAAATAAAACGAAAAACTTCATTACCTTGCAAGAGATAATGTACATAAGAGGTCATATTAGTATATTGGAGGGAATCAAATAATTTGAAATTCACAATCTTGGAGTTGAGAATCCAGAAAATGAATCAACTTATATTTGGAGCAGTGATTGTGGTGATTGAATACACTTCTCTGAGATCGAAAGAAATCATTTCATCAGGAAAATGAACATATCAAACCTGTTTTAGTGAACTATAGTGAACCTCAAGATTATATTTTTTTTCATGAAGGATCTACTTTTAGAAGTAATTAAATGGAATAAAAAGTTTTCGAATATCGTTCATTTTCTCAGAAATAAATGGTCGATCAAAATGTGAATTCAAACCCCCCTGCCAAAAATACTGTCCATTTTTGAGGGTTGGCTCAATGAAAATATTTCATAGAACGACATGAACTACATCATACCAAAAATTGAGAAAAATCCACCGGGACCCAATTTACCTTAATAATTTGCGGGGCCCTCTAGAACCCCCAATATACGTTCGATTTAACTTACACTTCGTATAAATTGAGTAATTTTTTTTTAGTCGACAAATTGTAATGGAGACAAACTAGCCATATCACTCAGTGGAGATTTGAACTTTGCAGACGCAAGAAATTACTGTGGCAAAGGAACCTTGAGCTTAGTGACTAATACGAATAGCATCGCAGTCGGTGAGTACATCATGTGAATACAGGGTGTTATATACATAGGTGACCAATTATTTCAAAAGGATGTAGAAATCATTGAAATCCACCAAATATCGCTTCAATAAAAATTGCATAATAACGGAGACATTATGATTTGAAAATTTCATAAAGGCCCTGGCGTATTCCGAAAAGCGAACTTGATTGGGAAAACATTATGTCTGTATGAAAAAGGATACTACTAGACCTAACTCGGCCAAAATGATTTTTTTTTCGGAAAATTCTATTTTTTGAACCCCAGCCACCGCCGTGGTCACCGTCAATCCACCAGACAGAATTCAGATCTTCGAAGAAACAGCTCAATCACAGTTATTTCATTCAGTGCCTGCATCACTCCCTATTTTTTCGAAAAAATGAATAGCTTGGCAACGGCACATTGTGGCGGAAAAAAAATTCAGTGCTGAGTAGGCAACGAAGGGACCATATTAATGACAGAAAAATAAACGGGTTGTTCTATTTGAAGAATACAATTTTTTTTGTTATAACGGGAAAATGCGACACCCTGTGAATCAGGAACTATTTTCAAAATGTGGCTTTCGTGGTGCCATAAAACTTTTATATGAATGTTTTTTCCATATATTACAGCATTATCGAGATATCGAGCAAAAACTCGGATTCTTGTTCCGTGCGAAAAGCTACTTTACACCTCAACAGCTTCTCATGATCTACAAAGCGCAGATACGGCCTGTTCTAGAATACTGTTCCCACATATGGGGTTCAGCACCAAAACATACGCTGATGCTCTTAGATTCCATCCAGAGAAGAGCCATCCGCCTGGTGGGTGACGCCACACTCACTCACTCTTTGACATCATTGGAACACCGTAGAAAGGTCGGCGACCTTTCACTTTTCTATCGATACTTCCACAGGAAATGTGCTTCGGAAATCTCTGCTATCATCCCTTCACTAGCAATACCAATCAGACGAACTAGACAAGCCCAGTCAGCACATCCTTTCGTTGTCAACCTCGAAAGATGTCGAACAGCACTTTATCAAAACTCCTTCATCCATAGAACGGCTAGGCTCTGGAATTCATTGCCTGTGGAAATATTTCCAACATCATATAATCTCCAGAAGTTCAAAACTAATTCCAATACCTACCTCCTATCCCTATCCTCCCTAGGAACGCACGATGTTCTTCGAACATTATAGGGATTTCCTTTCGTGCGCTCCAAGCGATAAAAAAAATACACACTGTTGGGACACCCGGTATATCGTTATTCAAAGGCAACTAACTGTGTTTTGTTCAACAGGGTTATTCTCAACATGGAATTCTGTTGGTGGCAGATACATTTGCACAATGACAGCTATACGAGACGCAGAATCTTCTACTACGCAGTCTCCTCAAATTTGTGACTGTGGATGGAGGCAAGGGGTGAGTATACCAGGTGAAGGGTGAAGGGAAAAAACTAGGAATGTCACAATAACTTTGTTTTGAGATAATCGCATTTCATCAATTAAACACCGGATTACTTCCAAACTATTAATGTTAAAATAATGACATAATTCTATATATAAAGTAAAAGTATATTCTCATATATTTTATGGAAATTGGAACAAACAACTGTATTCGTCATTCAGAAGAAAATAATAAGTTCTCACAAGAACATATTAATTTGGAAAAAAACGAGGAATGTCAAACACTTTCTGGAGGAAATAAGAAGTTACCCAATGTTATCATTGATGAGGTAATTCTGTGAAGTAAATATGTGCTTCAGGTCCACAAAATCTCTTCAGAGTCATCAAATTTTTGAATTTTTCTGCTTGAACTGGCAATAAATCTCGAATAAAAATTCAGAATGCATAAAAAAGCGTTACTTGATATTAAAATTGAATTCACCTCTGTATGCTGACAATGGAAGTTTGAATTCACCTTCTCACAGATCATTGTTGACTTCAACGCGTTTTTTGGGAACTGTGATAGGCTTTTGCTCCCAGTTACCATGGTATGAAATTCACTAACTCATCAATCTCGAATGTTCCTTAGTTTTTTCGATTTCCCTGATAGTTTGTACTGGAAATGGACATTTTTTGACTCTTGTTTACTTCTGATGCGGACGTGACTGACGATTACATAGCAAAGACTGATTTGAATTGCGAAGAATTCGGGTTGTGTGTACCTGCTGATATTGACTCTCCCAGTTCTTTGAAATTTCCGGGCGGACATTCCCTGTTTTTAACCGTTCTACGATATTTCAAGGCATGTTTACTGATAGACTATACGAGTTTTTAGCGGGCTTATGGGTAGAGAATGTCAAGAACGAAACTGTCTTCGTAAAGCAATGCATATCTCAATTTCTGTAAAAATATGACATTCCTTGTTTTTTCCCTCCAGGTGACACAGGGTATAGGGCCACCCCTGTAACATCTCTGCATTCATGAACGGATTTTTCTGGAATTTGGTACAGTTATACAGGGTGTTTCAAAAAAATCTAATCCCCTTGCTGGGGTAGGTAGAACATTGCAAAATGAGTTGGGTTTGCTCAGTGGAAAAATGTCAGAACGGCATCCGTTTTCAAGATATAAGGTGTTGAAACAATATTTTTTCACACATTTTTCATGATTAAGTCGAAACTACTGGCAACATTGTGATGAAATTTTGTATGGATGTGTTCTGAAAGCTGACACACCGCATGAATTTGTTTTTATATCTGACACTCATAGAGGGCGCTAGTTACACGGTTCATATTGAGAACTTTTGAACATAACCTTTTTGAGGTTAGATTTTTCAGTCCGAATTCGATGTGAACTTGAACACCATTCAATTTTATACCAAAATGATGCTCGATACTGTGTTACGTTTTCGAAATATTTCGATTAGAAGATGCTGAAGCAATAACTCTGATTCTGGTATTAGAATAAGTATTATAAAATAGTTATTTATTTTACAAGGGAAAAGAGTTGTAGATTTTAGCTCTAGCTAGGTTGTTTTGTCACAAACAACCGTGAGCTAAAATCTCATATTTTTCTCGTGTATAATGCACTATTTTTTTCTGTGACGGAAGAAAGAACGAATCAATATTGAGAAGATATCACATTATTTTGAAATCTGAAAATTATCGACGTGAAATTTTGAGTTTTTAACAGTAGGGACACCTGCATTGTAGGCATCTTTATCATTCTTTTGAAGTAATCAAATATCTGATGTCACTTCTGTCAATCTAATTCTGTGATTTGATTTCAAAAAATTGCGAATTTATTGGTTGTTTAGTAATTTACGTAACCGCGAAGTGGAATGGAAGATAAAAGGACTTGCAGTTCTTTCTCGGAGACGGTATTATTGACTCATTTTTCGGAACTATAGCACAACAAAAGCCATCGACAGTGTATATATATGTGATATATATCCGAGAAAAAAGTACTCACTCTTTTCCCACGGGAAAGAAGTAATTTATGAAAAGTGACATTTTATAACCTGCCAACAGAGATGAAATGCCAATTTTTCCCGTCACAGAAAAAAACAATTATCTATTTATTAAGGACAAAAAACATTAACATTATTTCAATGCTGAAGTTATCCATCAAACAAAATCACATCACAGTTAGATTAAGTGTTCAAAATGTCTTCTGTTTTCACGAATATACAATTCGATCCATTTTTTCTAATGAATGCATCAATCTTCTCAACGGTTAAGGATCAGCTATGAGATCATCGAAGTGATGTTCAATTCTTTCTTGCAGTGCTTGCCGTGAATTTACCTCTGTAGCATAGACTTTTTCCTTAATATAGGAGCATACTGTGTAGTCCAATGGATTTGAATCACATGAACGTGGAGGCCAATGAAGCAGAGTTTCTGCACCTCTACCAATCCATCGATTCGGATAATGAGTGCTCAACCAATCACGACACCTTCTATCAAAAGGTGGGGGAGCTCCGTCATCCATTATATACAGGGTTATTAGAAAAAACCTGACCCCCTTACTAGGGTAGGTAGAACACAGCAAAATGAGTTGGGTCTACTCGATAAAAAAATTTCTTGACTGCATCCGTTATCAATATATACAAGGTGTTGAAAAAATGATTTTTTTACTGATTTTTCAAGATTATGTCTAAACTACTGGCACAATTGTAGTGAAATTTTGTATGGATGTTTCTTGGAATCTGACACATCGCATGCATTTGTTTTTATATCTGACTCTCATAGAGGGCGCTAGTTACACGGTTCGTACCGAGTAGTTTTGAACATAACTTTTTTGAGGTTAGATTTTTCCATCCAAATTTGATGTGAACTTGAACATCATTCAATTCCACACCAAAAAGGTACTCTTGGTATAAGTTGTTACTGTGTTCCGTTATCGGAATATTTCGATTTGAAAACAATGAAGTGATAACTGTTTCTGGTATAAAGCTATGTATTAGCACAGTTATTAGAGTGAGTATTATGAAAAATTATCACCTATTTATTGAAAACCGAAAACAAAAATACATTTCTGATGCTGAACTCATTGATTTAACAATGAATCACAAGAATAACATCGAAACAGATTTGACTAAGAACATGGATTACACAGTTTTGTTGTATCTTGAGCAGAAAGTCTATGCTATACAGGGTGTCCGGAAATTATACGCAAACAATCAAGGGAGTGATTCTACATAATGAAATAAGAAATTTATTTCATATGAACCTAGGTCCGGAAATGCATAGTTTTTATCATACAGTGTGTTGAAACTTTTAAAAAAGATCGGTTTTTTATGAATATCTCAAATGTCTTTCCACCGATTTTCTTGAAATATGGCAATAATATTTTTTGTCATGAGGGGCTGATATACCCATAATTCAATTGGAATCTTGGAATCCAGTGGCGTCCCGATGGGCAACCTACCGAATATTATTGTCAATAAAATGTGCGCCACTGATTTTTTTGAATTCTGTATCTTCATAACCTATTGACCAACTAAAAATACAACATTTTGGTCTCTGGAATTGTTTTGCTATTTTGCTGCTTATCGGTGGAAAAAAATGAATTCCAATTCATTGTATAAATTTGTGCAAAATATTGCTTCTAAAACAGGGGTGAAATTAAATGTGTGATCGATGTCCATAGACGTAGAATAAAAATGAAGAATAATTATCTTCAAATATTTTATAATACATGTTTGACACACTCTACACTCAGTATATTGAGAACTATGTATTCTCGGTCCAGGAAGGCGTATAGTTTTCGATAATACAAAGTGTGTCAAACATGTATTATAAAATATTTGGAGAGAATGAATCTCCATTCTTATTCTACGTCTATGAACATGGATCACACATTTAATTTCACCCCTTTTTTTGAAGCAATGTTTTGCACAAATTTATACAATGAATTGGTATTTATTTTTTTCCACGGAAACGCGGCAAAATATCAAAACAATTCAGGAGATTAAAATGTTGTATTTTTAGTTAATTATTAGGATATGATGATGAAGAATTCAAAAAAATCAGTAGCGCACATTTTATTGACAATAATATTTGGTAGGGTGCCCCAGGGACGCCACTGGATTTCACAATTTCAATTTGAATTATGGTTGAATCAGCCCCTCATGACGAAGAATATCATTGCCAAATTTCAAGGGAATCGGTGGAAGGATATTCGAGATATTCATAAAAAACCGATTGTTTTAAAAAAGTTCAACACACTGTATCTTGAAAACTATGCATTTCCGGACCCAAGTATATATGAAATAAATTTCATGTTTTCACATGCAGAATCACCCCCTTGATTTTTTGCGCATAATTTTCGGACACCCTGTATAGGTAAATTCACATCAAGAGTTGTAAGACATATTTGAACATCACTAGAATGACCTAACAGCTGATCCTCAACTGTTAAGAAGAATAATACATTCTTAGGAAAAGAATATAGACTCGTTTTTCCTTCGAAATGTAGGACAATTTGAACACTTACTCTAACTGATTCAATATTTCATGTTTCAAGTCAAATATCTCTTGATATTCTACTTATGATTCTTCGTTCCATCAATAACTTCAGCACAAGAATAATTTTATTGTTTTTGAATCTGAATAAATAGGTATTTGAACTCAATAAAATTCATTTTATACCAGCATCAGCTATTACTCCATTGTTTTCAAATCGAAATATTCCGAAAACGGAACATAGTATTGAGTTTCACCAAGAGTACCTTTTTGGTGTAAAATTGAATGATGTTCAAGTTCATATCATATTCGGATTGTGAAATATAACCACAAAAAAGTTATGTTCTAAACTACTCGGTACGAACCCTGTAACTAGCGCCCTCTATGAGAGTCAGATATAAAAACAAATTCATGTGATGGGTCAGATTTCAAGATACATTCATACAAAATTTCATTACAATGTTGCCAGTAGTTTCGACATGATCGTGAAAAATGTGTGAAAAAATCAATTTTTCTACACCTTGTATCATGAAAACGAATGCCGTTACGACATTTTTTCAATGAGCAAACCCAACTAATTTTGCAGTGTTCGACCTACCCTAGAAAGAGGGTTGGGTTTTTTTGAAACACCCTGTATATATAACTTATAGTCATTTTACACTCATTAGTGTAACCATTTTCGCTAGATGTTAAGTAAGAACAAATTCTTTGCTTTGTAGATCAGCTTCATCAATACAATAACTGATGATGACCATTTAAATGGTCGAAACATGTCTCAATCAAAAGTATGAAGCAGAATCAACTGCACATTCCGCCAGTAAACTTGTGGAGACGACTTTGAATTTTTTTTCTCGTTCCCCACATCGAGCATGGACTAATTCAGGAGATTGCCCAAGTCGAATTTTGAAATAAATTATTATCATTTGAAGTTGTTTCCAAATGATAGCGACTTTATGAATGACACTGTATAATTTTTTTCTAGACGAGAATCGTGGGGGGAAACGAGACTTTGGTGAATGAATATCCATCGATGGCTGGTCTCGTTGATTCCAATGTGAGAGATGTGATTTGTGGAGGCAGCATAATTTCTGACAGATACGTTTTGACAGCTGCTCATTGCTTGCTCAATGTCCTCATAGCGAATTTGGGAGTTCTAGTGGGCGACCACAATATTTCAGCAGGTAATAAACAACCTCAACATTACTGAAAATTCCTTTCATATTATGTCAAATCTGACAATTTTACAATTATTCCACCCTGTACATAATGTTGAAATCGATAGGAAAGAAAAATCTGCGAGTTCCCCAACTCAAATTTCTCCAAAGTTTAAGTGGATACTATATCGAGAAGTTTATATGGAGTGTACATTGTTATTACTATACAGGGTGTTTCATTGGGAAAGGTAAATAATTCAACTGTGGATAGGGGTCACTGGGGTGATTTCAAAAAACCCATGGTTGATGGGTCTTCGACTTCTTATAACCGAGATACAGGATGTTTCATCAATTTTGTCCATATCTTCATTGTCTCATAACTTTCCAACCAACCTGTATATATTTTTAAAAATTGGTATACTTGCTCAATCTATCCTGTGGAATTGATTGAGGCAACAACAGAAGATAAAATTCAGGTCCGGCTTCACTTATAAAATTCACAAATTCTTTCTGCCAGAAAACAACACCCTATACATTCAAATTTCTCAATTTTTTTGCCATATCTGAAAAGAACATCAAAATTTCTATTCAACGATGTGTTTTTTATTCGTGCACTGACGATTTTAACTATTCATATTATGTGCTCAAAATATTATTTTTGCTCATTTTGGGGAACAAAATTTGACGAAAGAATCGTAATTTCCGTCCCCGAGAACCCCCAAATACAAATTTTGAATGAAATCGGATAACAATACTCGTCCGCCATATTGGATCCGCCATCTTGAATTTTCGATTCAAAAAATAGATTACGACCGATTCTCATACCTACCGAATACGCACAAAAAATTTCATACTAATCGGTCGAGCCGTTTCAGAGGAGTTCGACCACTAACACCGTGACCAGGACGCGATTTTACTAAATATACTGCACGCTAGCACAAACCACGCCCACCATAATACGTCACATCTCCAAACATTACCGATATACTCGGAGTCAGCACATCGCACTAAAATATACTGTGCTCCAACGCAGGAATACACTTTTTATGATTTTGACACGAATTCGACTGAAGCTCTCTCGTTGTCAATCTCTTGTACGCAGTAATTTCATACACCCAAATGGTCTACTGTTTAGCGCTGTCGACTCTTAGTCTGAAGGTCCATGGTTCGAATCTCTATGAACTTGAACTTCTTTTTGCAACTTTTTTTTTTCACCAATGTTTTTTTACTTCATTCTGGTTTTCCTTTTTCATGAAATATTTGAAGTCAAATAGGTTAGTGCGTTTAGGATAAACAGTCTCATTTTATTCAATTTTGTTGAAGAACTCAACTTTTGAAATATATTATTAATCAATGTGTTTCTACACTCCATTCGGTTTTCCTTCCTCGAAAATATTGCAATCAGGGATAGGTTAGTTCGTTGAGGATAAATAGTCTCTGAGTTTTGCCTAAGTAAAGTACTTTGAAGATCAGATATAACGGTGGGCGTGGTTTGTGCTAGCGTACAGTATATTTAGTAAATACGCGGCCGGGAAGCGATTTTACTAAATATAAACTATTGCAGCACAAGACACGCCCCCCATAATACGTCATATCTCATACTGTGCTCCAATGCAAGAACTGAAGCTTTCTCGTTGTCAATCTCTTGTACGCAGTAAATTCATACACCCAAATGGTCTATTGGTTAGCGCTGTCGACTCTCAGTCTGAGGTTCATGGTTCGAATCGCTGTGAACTCGAACTTTTTTTTGCAACTTTTTTTTTTCATCAATGTTTTTTTACTTCATTCTGGTTTTTCTTTTTCATAAAATATTTGAAGTCAAATAGGTTAGTGCGTTTAGGATAAACAGTCTCATTTTATTCAATTTTGTTGAAGAACTCAACTTTTGAAATATATTATTAATCAATGTGTTTCTACACTCCATTCGGTTTTCCTTCCTCAAAAATATTGCAATCAGGGATAGGTTAGTTCGTTGAGGATAAATAGTCTCTGAGTTTTGCCTAAGTAAAGTACTTTGAAGATGAGATATAACGTGGTATGTGCTACTTTTTCAATCGATTTATTTATATGAATCAGCTACGTTGTGCTGTCAAAGATTAGATTTTGCAGGATTGTGCTGGGCTCGATTATATTTTGCAATGCCGTAGTAGGGGGCGTGTCTTGTGCTGCAATAGTTTATATTTAGTAAAATCGCGACCGGGACAGGAGAATTTTATATATTAGATGAGAAAGCAGATGGAAACAATAGGCCTCAGACTACTTTATTTAGTTACAATTTGTGTTAACTTGAATCATGTCAACAGAGATTACAGATCAGGTTTATTCAATCTTCAAGGGTGTTCGAATTGTAGTTTCAGTATAAATATCACATCAGATTCACTATGTAATTGTTTATGATATTCTTGTTGATAAAAATTAATACTAACCCATGTTGTTCATTCTTGATGACCTAGTATATCTTTTTTAGTTCCTTGGAGTTGAAGTTCAACTTTAGCTCTTAGAAACTAAAAGTGTTGCCTAGCAACATACCTATTTTTTGCCAGCAATAGAAACGTCAACTTCAAGAGCTGATTTTGGAATTAAAATGGGCCTCTTTTGAGTCGGTTGCCGAAAAAAAACTTCAGAAACAAATTCAATCATAATAACCCCTTCATTATTCCAGATTTTTTGTGATTTTCTCTCCTCGTTTCGATTAAATAAAAATATGAATATTATTTCAATATACGTGTAGTAAGGACAAATCAGATGATTTGCCCCAAAATATCACTCCATTTAAAGAATTTTGACAATTGTCACTGAGAACTGAAAAGTGTCAGGACAAATACGAATTTGCGACACAAAAAATCCATTTTTTATGTTGAAAACGGGAGCAGATTTGTTCCCGAAACGTCCAAAGCTAAGTAAACATTTGATATTCTTTCTATATACCTCCATTTCCCTTCTCCAAACCTTTTGTCAATACAAATTGTCACCGACAAGCTAGTGAATTTTTCTTTCAGGCTCTATGATAGGAAAATTCTTTAAACGCAGTGACATTTTGGGGCAAATCATCTGATTTATCCTTACTACACATTGAAATAATATTGATATTTTTATTTTATAGAAACGAGGAGAGAAAATCCCAAAAAATCTGAAATAATGAATGTACCACCTTTTTTTTTATCGCTTGGAGCGCACGAAAGGGAATCCCTATAATGTTCAAAGAACATCGTGCGTTCCTAGGGAGGATAGGGGCAGGAGGTAGGTATTGGATGGTAGGTATAATTATGTTGTTGGGAATACTTCCACAGGCAATGAATTCCAGAGCCTAGCCGTTCTATGGATGAAGGAGTCTTGATAAAGTGCTGTTCGACATCTTTCGAGGTTGACAACGAAAGGATGTGCTGAATGGGCTTGTCTAGTTCGTCTGATTGGTTATGCTAGTGAAGGGATGATAGCAGAGATTTCCGAAGAACATTCCCCGTGGAAGCATCGATAGAAAAGTGAAAGGTCGCCGACCTTTCTACGGTGTTCCAATGATGTCAAAGAGTGAGTGAGTGAGTGTGGCGTCACCCACCAGGCGAATTGCTCTTCTCTGGATGGAATCTAAGAGCATCAGCGTATGTTTTGGTGCTGAACCCCATATGTGGGAACAGTATTCTAGAACAGGCCGTATCTGCGCTTTGTAGATCATGAGAAGCTGTTGAGGTGTGAAGTAGCTTTCCGCACGGAACAAGAATCCGAGTTTTTGCGAAGCAGCTTTTGCGATGGATCTGACATGATTATCCCATGAGAGAGTGTTGCTGATGGAAATACCGAGCATAGATATGGTGGGCTTGGTGGGGATGGTGGAACCAGACATTACAATATCGGGCATACTGAGTTCCGCCTTTCTAGAGAAAATGCAGGCTTGAGTTTTGGTGGCGTTGAATTCAACTAGGTTGTTTGTTCCCCAGGCTGTGATTTCAGCAAGATCTCCATTGACAGCATTGACCTGCCTGCGCCGTGAGTTCTCAGTTTCCTGGGAAGAAATGGGAATTCTGGAAGAGAACGCAGTATGGAGGGTACTATCATCTGCAAAGCTGTGGATGGGGCAAGTTGTTACTCCCAACAGATCATTGATATGAAGCAGGAATAATATTGGTGCCAAAATTGATCCTTGTGGAACGCCGGAATTGATGCCAATGGTATCAGACGATACACCGTCCACCACCACGTGAAGCGATCTGCCTGAAAGAAAACTCGATAAAAGATGGCATAGCTGAGGTGGTAAGCCGTATGATGGTAGTTTGTGGAGGAGTCCTTCGTGCCAAACACGGTCGAATGCTTTCAATATGTCCAACGCGACAGCTAGAGATTCCCCGTGTTTTTTTATTGAAGATTGCCATGAATGGGTGACGTAGGCAAGTAGATCTCCAGTAGATCTTCGGTGGCGAAAGCCGTATTGTCTATCATTGATGATCCCTGAGCTCTCCAGATATTTGATAAGCTCAATATTGATGGCTTTCTCCATCACTTTGGAGATTACTGATAACAGGGCAATGGGCCTGTAGTTGTTGGGCAGGTTCTTGTTCCCTTTTTTGGGGATTGGTTGGACTCTAGCTGTCTTCCAGCATGATGGAAAAATATCCGACCTGTACGAGATGGTAAACAACTTGCAGAGAATCGGTGTTAATTCTGGGTGCACATTTTCTGAGGATAATGAGTGGAATTCCATCAAGACCGTTAACCTTATTCGTTTTGAGACCAAGCAAAATTTGTCTGATAGTGCGTTGACGGAAGACGATTTCGGGCATTCGACTCTCAACGGGTGGAATGTCTGGCGGCAGTTTTTCTTGGGAATCTGAAGTAGAGTTTGCTGCGAACATCTTTGCAAAAATATTTGCTTTCTCCTGCGATGTTGTTGCTAATGTGCCGTCGAATTTGGACAGTGGTGGAAATGAACTATTAGTGAAATCTCTTCCGACCGCTTTAGCAAGGCACCAAAACGAACGGGAGCCATTGGGGCAATCTATGAGTTTCGATCTTATCGATTAACCTATACAGACAGTATAATAACCCCTTCCTTGCATTCTCTAGTGATATTTTTCTATGCCAACTAATTATCCATCCATTTTTCAGGATATGATACGGTGGCAGCAGCCCTGTATCGCGTCGAAAGAAACATTTCGCACCCCAATTTCAACCCCCGAACGCAAATAAACGATATCGCCATTCTGCGCACCACCACCAGGATGGTATTCAGCATCTACGTGGGCCCTGCCTGCTTGCCCTTCAGATACACCGCATTCGACTTCACTGGCCAAATCGTTACGGCCCTGGGCAAGTACACATTTCCGTGAAAATATATTGTCTCAAATTCATTATTGGTTGGTTACAATACTATAGTAGCAGTGTTCTGAAGTATTTTCATTTACTGTGGAATTTTCAGACCATTCTGAAGAACTTCGAAGTATTTCGAGGTATTTCGAAGTATTTTCGAACATTGATAATTCTGATGTACTATGAAGTACCTAATTTGGAGTATTTTTGAAGTATTTTTCAATATCTTCAAATATTTCCATGTGTTTTGTAGAGAAGAAAAGAATATTGCAGAATATTATGTAGACATTTTGAGGAATTTGGAAGGAAATTACACATCAAACATTTTCGATCAATGTAAAGCCTGTATTTCGTATTGTTACCATAGCAACTGAACTAATTTCTTGAAAATTTTTTCTTCCTCCTTGGGGGACGTAGCATGAAATTACACTGGAAATTTTTTACGAAAATAGGATCAACTTCAGATTATTTCGAGTTCATTCTATAAGTCAATAAATAAAAATCATTTATCAACAGTTTACCATATAATATAATGTAGGTATACTTGCAAATTCGAAATTTACAAAACCATCAAAAATCGTCAATATCCAAGTTAATTTTCAATAATATTCCAGTGTGAAATTTTCTCAGCGAATAACACTTTAGCTAAAATTGATATCCGGGAATTTTTCCTCGAACACGAATATTTAGGAAATTCTCTCTCGTCTTCGACTCTAGAGAATTTTCAAAATTCGTGTTCCCAAAAAAATTTCCGGAAATAATTGAAGCTCTCGTTATATAATATGTGAGAATTTGTTCAAATTTTTCGAAATGTTTGAAAGATTTGAAGAATTTTTGAAAAGGTAAGGCACTAGTTTAAAATGTTTGGAAGTATTATTAAGTAGTACCTAATCAATTACAGGTCTTCTGAAACGTATTTAGATACCTATTTCATAGTATTCCCGATATCCCCCAATTTTGCTGCCAAATTTCGTTATTTTTTCAATAATATCTAATGTTTCGCAAGATGTTCTCCGAATATTCCAGAGATTTCCTTTTGTGCGCAACAAAATATCGAAAGAAATATACCATAAATGATCATTCTGGTTCTCGAAACATTCTGGAATATGTTGAATCATTCGGAAATATCATCTTATTCACCGTATATTATCATATAATAATACCGTAAAAAGGGGTGAAAACTTAGGAGCGAATATAAACAAATAAGGAGCATTGAATTACTGTTTCCATTCACCCCGCCTGGAGGGGTAATTCGAAATCACATTTCAATTTTTTTCTCAAAAACTGTATTTTTTCACTGAAACTCTGAAATTCTTCTCTAGAACTCTAAAATATTTGACCCTATTTTATAGTACATTTTCATTGGAAATATTAATTCTTTCTCGGTTAATTCAACAAAAAACAACTACTTTCCTGGCTATATGCCACGACTAACATTGAATTGTATATATTGGAAAAAAGGGAGCATGAAACAATCAAAATCCTTTGAAATCAAGAATTGACAATCTCTCAAATCTGATAAATAATATAATGTATTATTTCTGGCATTTTCAGGATGGGGTCAATTATTCTTTTCTGGACCGAGATCTGATACTTTGCAGAAAGTAGATTTGATGGTGACACCAAACGACGTTTGTGCAGCGGAAAACTCAGATTCCATCATCACTGCGAATCAGGTTTGCACCTTCTATCCGGGCAAAGATGCATGCCAAAGTGACTCAGGAGGTGAGGTTTCTAATATTCCATTACAAACATGTATTTGAAGTGACATTGAAAGATTTTGGATTATTTCATTATATGTTTTGTAGCATTTTTTTAGTATTTTCACAATATTTTCTGGGTATTTTGGAATATTCTCCATATATTTTGAACCTTCAAATTCAAAGTGTCGCAACTCAGATGTTTCTAGTAGGTTATATGGCATTATTGAGAAGAAACTGCGCCTCCACTACGTGTCGCAACTCAGATGTTGACCCTCCTATTGGTCGTGACTTAGCTACTCGCTTGGCTTTTTGACGAGGGGATTTTACTCATTTCACCACCCAACCATATTCATTCCCAAATGAAGAGAATTGTTTTTCAAAAGTACAACAAACAATTTATTTAATCACGAAAACATAAAAATGTGCCAAAAGGGCGGAACAGCAAAGAACATACATGAAACGAGCAAACAACAGGAACAAGTTGATGGTTCTTTGTCACACCCCCTAAGTGGCATAGTACCAGTTTGCAAGTCAACAATCAATGAATGAGGGTTATGTACGATTGAACTAATAATGACCATCCTTATCGATTCGGGTTCTATTTATATTTAAAATCGATGCTAGATTCGCAATTTTCCCCAATGGAAATGGTCATTACCTTTCGATACTGCTTACCTAGGTATTATCGAGGCGGTAAGTGGTTTCTTTGCAAATTATAAAAGAAATGACGTTTTTAAACTCCGCTGATCTGATCGAAACTACAATGTACTGAATGTTTCAATTTGGAGAAGTTGATTAATGATAAAAGATCTTGAAATGAACGAGAGTTGGCTAGTTACACGGTTCGTACCAAGTAGTTTTGAACATAAATTTTTTGAGGCTAGATTTTTCAATCCAAATTTGATGTGAACTTGAACATCATCCAATTTCACACCAAAAAGGTACTCTCGGTAAAACTCGATACTGTGTTCCGTTTTCGGAATATTTCGATTTGAGAATGATGAAGTGATATAACTGTTGCTGGTATAAATCTATGTATTAGAGCGAGTATTATGAAAATTCATCACCTATTAATTGAGAACCGAAAATAACAATACCTTTCTAATGCTAAACTTATTGATTTAACAATGAATCACAAGAATAACATCAAAACAGATTTGACTAAGAACATGGATTACACAGTTTTGTTGTATCTTGAGCAGAAAGTCTAAGCTAAATAGGTAAATTCACGTCAAGAGTTGTAAGACATAATTGAACATCACTTGGATGACCTAGCTGATCCTCAACTGTTTAGAAGAATAATACAATCTTAAGAAACGAAATTAGAATCGTGTATTCGCCGGAACGTAGGACATTTTGAACACACACTCTAACTGATTCAATATTTCATGTTTCTAGTCAAGTATCTCTTGATTTTCAACTTATGATTCCTAGTTCCATCAATAACTTCAGCAGAAGAATAATTTCTTTGTTTTTTAATCGAAACATTCTATCGAGTTTCACCAAGAGTTTCTTTCTGGTGTAAAATTGAATGAGGTTCAAGTTCATATCATATTTGGATTGAAAAATCTAACCTCAAAAAAGTTATGTTCTAAACTACTCGGTACGAACCGTGTAACTAGCGCCCTCATGAGAGTCAGATATAAAAACAAATTCATGCGATGTGTCAGATTTCAAAACACATCCGTACGAAATTCAATCACAATGTTGCCAGTATAGTAGTTTCGACATAACATACCTTGTATAATGAAAACGGATGCCGTTACGACATTTTTTCACTGGGCAAACCCAACTTATTTTGCAGTGTTCTACCTTCCCTAGCAAGGGGGTCAGGTTTTTTGAAACACCCTGTATAGCGATACACTTTTCGCAGAACAATAGTTATTAAAATGGAAAAAAAATCATGTAACAACATTTTAATATGACAAAATAAACACATTTGAATATACTGATAGCTAGTTCCTCATTGTATGTAGAACTGTACCCGAGTGATAAAGTTTAAAACCTTCTGCTGCATTCACTTTTCACTGATAAATTTTGAATTTGGTTGGTATTGAGAACCCATTCAATTTTCATGATTTCCTCAGTTTCGTTCTCAAAAATTTTCAATTCTATTACGGAGTTTTGCAATCAATTCCTGTTTCTCTATGCATTTCGTGTGATGATAATATTTGAACATTTTTCATTAGTCTGTTGTGTAAATCAATGGAACAGTAGATTCTCTCAAACAGATCTTATGAATCTTCTGTTTGAAACTTGGCCTAGAATATAGTTTCATTCCAATCTGCTCACGAATTTCGCCTGGCCTCAAATCAATTTTCCATCTAGCTAGGCCGTCTTATACATTCCTTTCATAAGGGAATGGTTGATATTTCCTTTGGAAAATTAAATAAATGATATCGCTATTTCCTTCAGAATTCCCGCTATTCATTACACGACAGCAGGAAATTTTTTTCATTCATGCTTTTTTCTCAATTGTTCATGAAATTATATTTCAATTCTGACGTTCATGAATTTATTGTCAAATTAAAACAATTTTGAATGAAAAAGCGCGGAACAACTATGGTGTTGTCACAATGCAAGGTGTGTAACTTAATCTAAACATTCAAAAACACTAACAGTTGTAATTTCTGTGTCTGTACTCTTATCTAACTAATACCATCCAGTAATAGTCCAATAAATCAAGGAGGAAAAAAAGGCAAAGTTAACGTTAATCACGCACTATTTTCATCTTCCGGTTGGAAGTAGCTTTGGGTACCCCATCAAACATGAGACAAAGTTTGACTGGAAAACGCGTGCGATGGCGGATAAAATGGCCACAAAAGACCAGGGAAATAGGTTTTCAGCCAATATCTCCTAAAATATGGCAGTAAGAGATTTTCGGTTCAGATCAAAATTAAAGTTCAGTTAATTTTCTACAAAAATGGTCTCTATAATTTTTCTCGAAAATTTGCCCGGTTTCGAGAAAAACGGCACGAAGCGCACCTCGAATAATGAGCTTCTGTGTTGTATGCCGGAGAGCACAGTCCGTGTATTCACACATCGGCGGGGGGACAAATTATTCAATAACTTTGTTAAAAATGCATATTTTCTCATGATTCAAAGTTCATGTGAAAGAGGAATTCTGCTGCTATCATACCCTGCGTGGCCGCATGGTTTGTAGCAGACGACCCGAGCGCCACGTAGAGAACACACGCAGCGAACGACGGAGGAACGAAAGTAATAAATTATAGCGTGTACATTTAGATATACTGTTTTTTTTCCGGGATATCAAGAGTATGACTTAAATACATCGATGGAAAGGTGGGAATTCCCCCGTTACACTAGTAAAGGTGTTGGAATGTTAGAAATGAAGAGCACGGAGAAAAAAACCACCGAAAAAAAAATGCGTTTTTTCCTTGACCCCGCTTTTTCTAATTTTATTGAAAAATGGACGACTTCGCCAAAAAAAGTAATTGCACAATCGAAAAGTAGACCTTCTTAGCTTTCAAATGATGTACCATAGAAACCAATCGGATCATGTATAAATTTTTAATTGATGGTTGTTCACAAAATTTCCCCGCGCTCCAAAAATAGCAAAAAATTGGGATTCAATAAACAAAGATCGAATGAAAATTTAAAAATATTAGGGTATACTAATTTCAGGGATGACAAAGGAACTTATGAGGACCCATAATCAAGAGAATTTTGAGTAAATTAGTGCAATACAAAAAAATAGGAACAAATTCCTGGCTTGACCCATGTTCCGATATGGCCAAAAGAGTCAAGCGTGACTCAATTCACAGGGTATGATAGCAGCAAAATTTCTCTTTCACATGAACTTTGAATCATGAGAAAATATGCATTTTTAGCAAAGTTATTGAATAATTTGTCCCCCCGCCGATGTGTAAATACACGGACTGTGCTCTCCGGCATACACCAGAAGCTCATTATTCGAGGTGCGCTTCGTGCCGTTTTTCTCGAAACCTGGCAAAATGATAGGGACCATTTTTGTAGAAAATTAACTGAACTTTAATTTGTATCCGAACCAAAAATCTCTAACTGCCATATTTTAGGAGATATTGGCTGAAAACCTATTTTCCTGGTCTTTTGGGTCCATTTTCTCCGTCATCGCACGCGTTTTCCAGTCAAACTTTGTCTCATGTTTAATGAGGTACCAAAAGCTACTTCCAACCAGAAGATGAAAATAGTGCGTAATTAATGTTAACTTTTTCCCTTTATTTATTGGACTATAACTCTAGTTTTGATAAATGCAGATGATAATCACCATAGCAGCAAACTATCGGCTGTCAGCTATTTGACATGAAATTAGTTGACATTTTAATTTTCGAAGATTTGGTTGTAATTATCGCAATAAACTATCAAAAGCAGCTGCGATAGTGAATTTGAAAATGTCCATACGAAATTTTCAATGTAACAGTTAGTAGGTATAGGTATTTCGTTCAAATTTCAGTATATGATACAACTGAGAATTAATAAAAAAGAAATTGTATTCTACAAAGAAATATAATATGGAAATGTGTTTCATTGATTTGTTATTCTACATGATTGCCGACAAAATATAGTGTATGCAACACGTCCAACAATAGTTTTTTTTGGACTCGCAGACTTCCAGGACTCGCCTATGGATCGGCCTAGAATTTTTGGTAAAAGTGCACTTATCATGCGATGGGGTTTTTTTCGAGAATTTTTTTTTGGTACTTACGTATTTTCGTCTGAAAAACACGAATTTCATAATGAAAATGTGAACAAACCATTATTTATTAAGATATTTCACTATATAGTTACAAATTTCACCATCTTTTCCGCCTGTCTTCTGGATCACATTTAGATCAATTTGCCCTTCTTTTTCCATCATTGGACAATTTATATATATCACACAATGTTGGACACATTTTTTTTATTATATGAGTCAACTAGAAATATGATTTTCTTGTGATTTATCCATGTTTAGTGAAAAGAAGGAAGAATATCATTTGAAATAATGGCGTCTGTAATGTCATTCCAAAGCAATCTATTGAC